CTCGGCATATGTTGAGGTTATTAAAGCAAAGCAGACAGACGTGGGCTCAGGTGTGATAAATCCAAGTGTGAGTGAACGTGGATGACACCGGTACAGCAGCCTATCCTCTATCTGCACATCTCTCCACTCCAATCTATATTCCAGCGCTCCAGTGGCTGACACGACTCTCACAAATTATTACATCACAGCGTGCGCCCTCAGACAGAGCCCAGAGTAGAGGCGGACAGCAGAAAGCATCCTGCTAGTAAAGAGCAACACATCTATGCTGCGGCAGTTTCATGCTCTGAGAAGATTACTGGCTTGAGATAGCGAATTATTACACAAAATACAAAAACATTTCCAATATACCTGGAATTTTATTCTCAACAAAAACAGTATCTGTATTCTTAACCCTCTAGGCGCCACGGTCAACTTATGTCGACAAGCTGCGGTACTGTTTAAAACGGCCGAGTGTGACCAACCGAGTGTCAAAATTCATTCATACTCCCTGCCACTAGTTGGCAGACATGTCAGACTACCTCCCTGGCCCAAAAAACGATATGCTCCCATACAAAATATTCTAGCAAGACCGCGTTGAATCAGATCGGAAAACATTGCGAAGCGAGTGCAGCTGCGAGGCTGCGTGCGAGTGTTATAGCGCATCAAACCCCAACATTAGACACTTTGCACAGGGTCTGCAGTGGGAACAGTGTTTCTCAGAGTAAGGCCAGTCATTGGGAGGTTTGGACACAGGTTAGATTTGCGGAAAACAAGCCTGGAACTCGTGTTGGGGCACCGCGCCGCGATCTCCAGCCTCCGCTAAAGTCTCCGCTAAACTCTCCAATAAAAGTGCTTCCCACATATTTATTTTCATGCCTCCCGTAATCACGGGGACAGTAACGTGTTGGAGAAGCCTTGTCTTGTGTGTGTTATGGTGCTTTCAGACCGGATCATGCGTTGCGTCGGGTTTCAATGCAAAGTCTAGGGTGGCGCACGTTCGACCGTCACAACGCACGGACCTCTCGGCACGCACGAACGAACTGTTCAATAATGACGCACGGACTTGGCTGGAAAGTGAAAAGGGAGGAGCAGGAGCGAAAAATCAACGCCCACAGGAGACGGATTCTGCTCATCCTTTCCTTGGGACGTTCGTGCGACAACCAATCAGAGAGTAGCAAAGTGGTCACAGGGACATTAGCGGACTGAGCGAGCAGACTGAAAATACTCGTAAACAGCGAAAACAGGACCCACACCAGGCTTCACCAGAACTCAAACCAGGGTTGACAATGGGGGACTCTGTGCTTGTGAAAATATGCGTTGTCATGCTCCCGTGACCTTATGCAACGGCTTCGAGTGTGTTCGCCGACGCGGAAATTCCGTTTAATAATATGAAAAAACGTATGGCGCACCTCCGTGAAAACATACAAGTGTTATATAAAGCCCGTGGAATGTCTGTGAGCAAAGACACGCTCCAAAGCTGCATATTGGAGAAGATCTGTACACAAGAAGCCGCTAGCATAGCTCTGTTAGCATCAGAGCCGGCCGGCTACTTCCGGTACTTCCGGCTCGCGTCAGGACGTTCTGATGTGAAGTCCTCTGAGTCTGAAAACTAGAGAATGCACGTCTGGTGAGCGGGGCTTCCGCGTTTCAGCGTTGGCGGTCTGAAAGCCCCATTAGACAAGAGAGAGAGCAGGGGAGATGAGAGAGAGAGCAGGGTAGACACAGCAGCAGGAGGGTCGCTGTGACGCGCTTCACCTGGAGGCGCACGTCTAGGCAGACTGCTCACAGCAGCACCATGATTTATATTTTTTACTATTTCCATGAACATTTACAATGTTACAGTGTGTGTTCATGTCTTAGTGATCAATATATGTCTGTCAGTTAGAAAAATACAAATATTGTATGAAAATTCTAAAATCCACAATTTCTAACGCCATATGTAAGTAAGTAAGTAAACTTTATTTATATAGCGCCCCTCACAGACCAGGGTCACAAAGCGCTTCACATAGTATAAAAACAGACATATAAATTAGACATTCACATTTTTAAAGGCCAAGACAACCATGTAAAAGAATACAGCAAGACAAACTTACGCAAAAGCCTGAACAAATAAATGGGTTTTAAGTTGACTTTTGAAGCACTCAACAGACTCAATAGAACGCAGAGAGAGCGGGAGAACGTTCCAAAGCTTGGGAGCAACACCCTGGAAGGACCTGTCTTCTCTGGTCTTGAAGCGAGTGCGTGGAACAATCAGGAGGTTCTGATCCACAGACCTCAGAGCCCTGTCTGGGGTGTAAGGCTGGATCAGGTCACTGATGTAAGACGGGGCCTGAACGTGCAAAGCTCTGAAGGTTAAAACCAGAATTTTAAAATGTATCCTGTAGGACACTGGCAGCCAATGAAGAGCTTTCAGGACAGGGGTGATGTGCGACCTCCTGCTTGTGCGGGTCAGGATTCTCGCTGCAGAGTTCTGCACTAACTGCAGGCGAGACAGTTCTTTCTTGTTTAAACATGAAAACAGAGCATTACAATAGTCTAAACGCGAAGACACAAATGCATGAATAATCACCTCCAAATCATTCTGTGAAACCATTTTCCTGACTTTGGAGATTCTCCTCAGCTGATAAAAGCAGTTCCTGGTCAGCTGTTTACAGTGCTGCACTAACGACATGTCCTTATCAAAAATAACACCCACGTTTCTGAGGCTCAGTTTAACTGACTGGCCTAAGTCACCTAGGCCCTGGTTTATCCCTGGGATGTGGTCATCAGGGGCAATCACCAGAGTTTCTGTTTTGTCAGCGTTGAGCTGCAAAGTGTTGTCACTCAGCCATTGTTTTATCTCAACCAAGCAATGGACCAAGGAGTTTAGCCTCTGGAGCTCGGTAGGCTTGAAAGAGCAGTATAGCTGGATGTCATCAGCAAAAATGTGGAATGAGATGCCAGGAAATCTCCGGACAATCTTTCCCAAGGGGGTCAAGTACAACAGGAAAAGTAGCGGACCCAAAACGGAACCTTGGGGGACACCACACAACAAATCTGCTGACTCAGAACATATCTGGTTTGCTGCGACACTAAAACTGCGTCCAGATAAGTACGAAGCAAACCCTTTAAGCACTGACCCTGACAGTCCCACTCCATCCCTCAGTCTTCGCAGGAGGATCTGGTGGTCGACGGTGTCGAACGCCGCGGACAGATCCAGAAGAACCAGAACAGTGCACTCTCCAGAATCTGCTGCCATCATAATATCACTGGACACTTTCAGTAAGGCCGTCTCCGTGGAATGGTGTCGGCAAAAACCAGACTGAAATGTCTCGTGGATGTCATTTTGATCCAGAAAAGCTGAGAGCTGTTCAGACACTACCTTCTCTAGGATCTTGGACAAGAGTGGAAGTTTAGTGATCGGCCTGAAATTATTTAGATCAGTTGGATCTAAGCCTGTCTTCTTTAGTAATGGCTCCACTGTGGCATGTTTAAATGCTTTAGGAAACACGCCTGTAGAAAGGGAGAGGTTAATCATTTTGATAACCCAGGGGCCAATTATATCAAACACTTTCACAAAGAGTCTTGATGGAATGATGTCAGATGGACAAGAGGAGGGTTTCATCTTGGTCACCAGTGCAGAGATATCAGCAAGTGTCACCGACTTGAAAGAGGACCACAGGCTGGAGACCGGCTCAGTAACAGCAGGAGCACCACTCAAAACGGGAGGGATATTTTCTTTGATCCGCTTAATTTTGTCCATAAAAAACATCAAAAATGCGTTGCTGTCAGCTTCACAAGTGACAGGGGCAGTTGGGACAGCCGGACAAACAAGAGAATTTATCGTGTCAAACAGAACTTTGGGGTTTTTCTTGTTTACAGTTACCAGTTGACGAATAAAGTCAGATCTGGCATTTTCAACCATTTCATTGTATGAGGCCATAAGGTCTCTAAGATGGAGTCTGTGCACCTCCAGGTTGGTTGATTTCCACAAACGTTCAGTCCTGCGACATAGCCTCTTTAGACTTAGAGTATTTTCATTTGTCCAAGGGCAGGCTTTTTCCTGTGTTGACAAACAAATTTTAATAGGGGCCACACAGTTCAAGATACTAGTACAATGATTACTAAACGAATGCACGAAGTTGTCCACATCGAGGCAGTCCGTAAACAACAGAGGATCAAACATGGAGGAAAAATTGTCTGCAGTATTAGCGGATACAATACGCCTCTGAGACCTAACTATAGCTGGCTTAGGCTCAGGGCTGAAGTGCAGATCAAACGAAACAAGATAATGATCACTCAAATGTACATCGTTTACAGACACCTGTGAAATGTCCAGGCCAAGCGTAACAACAAGATCTAAAATGTGACCTTTTTGGTGCGTGGGTACAGAAACATGCTGCTCAAAGTTAAAAGCCTCAGTCAAAGTTAAAAGTTCCATTGCAGAGCAACATGAGCAGTCATCAATGTGAAGGTTAAAATCTCCAACGATTAAAACCGATTCCAAATTTATAATGGAGGATAAAACTCCACTAAAATCCTTCAGAAATGCAGCAGCAGGGCCAGGGGGGCAGTAGACTGACACGCAGTAAAATGGGTTTAAAGAACCCACCTTTACCATCTGGCACTCAAATGAAGGAGATTCCTGGGTCTGTGACACTTTGCATGAGCAACTGTCCTTGTAGACAACAGCCAGGCCTCCTCCACGACGAGAAGGGCGGGGCTTCCCCACGACAGAGCATCCAGGGGGACAGAGTTCATTTAAATGAATAAACTCATCCACTTTCTGCCATGTCTCACATAGACACAAAACATCCACATTTTCTCTTTCACAAAGCTCATTCAAAGAGAAGGATTTGTTTGTAATAGACCTAGTGTTCAACAGGCCGATATGCAACGAAGGTGACGTCACAGGTGAAGTTTCCGCGGTGTGCAGCGTGATTGGACGAAGGCATGTCCAGCGGTCACGTGCAGGGAAAGCCGGTGTAAACACGGAAGCGCGTGGACACGATGGGAGCCAGTACTGACCACTGCTCCAGCGCTCAGAAGGCTCCAGGACACCCACTGCGGTCCGTGCGGGCAGCGGCGTGGATACGGCGGAAACTTACCACAACAGGCGTCACACAGGAGAGGAATCCAGCGTAAGCGCCGCGCGCGTTCTCCGTGGCCAAGGAAGACAGAGTCCCGGCGGGCAGCAGCGCGTCTTTGTCGGACCTGGACTCCAGAACGCGAGCCTCTTCTCCTCGATTTCTTACGGACTCTACCCGGTGCCCGAGAAAGCAGCACGTACTCCGGTGAGTCAGTGTCAATGATGAAGGGAGGGGGGAAGGCTTGCTCGTACCTGTCCCGTGAATCAAAGAGGTCCTCCATCGAGTCTTTGATCCGAAATAGAGAATCCCGATCATAGATCCGCAAAGCGGAGACACATTCAGATACAATACAGGCTGTTATGATTATATAAATTGTGAAGAAGGCCATCAAAAATCTATACAGCAGGAGACGGGCCATGGCACTGCCGGTCACAGGCGCCATCTTCCAAAAGAACAATATGACGTCATAATATGCAAATTAGATGGGTGGATTTATTCTCTACATAAACTTTGGACCATCCTTAATATTTTTCTACTTTACAGAAAGCCTTTATCTCTTATCACTCTTTAAGTTATATATATTAAGATGTCAAAATCGAGCGTTTTGGAAAAAAACCTCTGGCGCTTAAAGGGTTAACAAAATAGCCACATCAACATTTCAAAGGCTGAAAAACAGCAAGCCTACACATTTAAACTAAAGCTAGTTTAGTCTGAGGAAACATCAAATTATCAGATGCCAGACAGTTAGTGTGAGCTCTGTGATCTGGGGCTTGTAGTTAGTTACTTTAAAGGGGAAATATCATGAAAAATCCACTTTTTGTGTCTTAAATGCCTTATGTTGTGTAGTTGGAGCCTCTAAAAGTGCAAAAAAGTTGAAATCAGTCTCTTCATGGGTTGCAGAGAACACTTCATATTCTGTTTAGGTAAGATTTTTCAACCCGTTCTGATTTTGCCATTCTCTATTGCGTGTTTAGAATTATTACGTCACAGTATTTGCAGCGAGACTGCTATATAAGGGCATGGGCCTGTAGGGTATGAAAATAGTAGTGTGGAACGTCTAGACTCCAGATCAGCGTCTCTCCGTTCCACACAGGGGTGGATCTGAATTTATTTTATTTTGGGCACCAGCAAACAGGAGAGTCTGCAACAGATCCAATCAATCTGCCTCGATTAGTCTTCTAAATCTGATAGGTTATGATTACAAAATCAGCCAGGGATATCAAAAGATTGGAAACAGGACGCTTAAAAGATTATTTAAGTTATCGTGGGTTTATTGACTACATACGAAAATAGAAAAATATCTACGAGGAGGGGTTTGGTCACATTAAACAGAGATGTTAAACATATTACATGAATTACACACTTACGTGGCAATTGGAACAGTCTTACTTTGAGTAGTCCGTATTGAGGGATGAAGAATGAAGAAAAGCAAAGGGAATGGGCAGTCCACGTGTTCCTTTGTTTGAGCAGGAGGGAGACACCAAGCCAGCAGGTTCGATCCAAACTTTAAATTCCCTCAAGACACACGCTGTCTAGAATAGCGGTGCGTGAGGAGGCGTCCAGAGCCGGAAAAGTGGCTGGTGATGGAGTAGTTCGTGGTCTCCGACAGCGAGTGTAGTTCGCTGTCCTCGTGGAGGGTGGGAGGCCTAAGTGTTGTTTACAGGCCGAGGATTGCGTAGGGGACACGTATCCAGGTTGTTACATTGATTTCAGGGATTCCAAGAGAAAGATTCTCGATGTGTCTTGTGGTTTTGTACCATCCAAAGGAGGCGCGTCCATGACGTCATCTTTGTGCGTCTCTCTGGGCAGACATGTTTACAAGGCAAATACCATCACACACAATTTAACGCTCATAACACATATACCGACACACAGCGTATTTACATCACAGATAATGTTACACACGGGTAGGGCCAGTAAAGGTTATCAAAACAATATCTTCGCAGAGCGATAGTTTAGAATGTCCGTCTCGGGTGTGATAGTGTTCAGTGTCCACTGGGGGGCGTCAGAACGCCGTTGGTGGGTTACCAGTTGTCCCAGGGGGGAAATGTCCTTTTGGAGTGAGAGCAGAACTTTGATCTCTGATCACGCCGGGAAGGGGGCAGAGATGTTTAGTCCCGTATTCGATTTATTGCTCCAAGCTGACGGTCGTTATCTCTATGACCGATGATAGCTCTCTGTCCGACCCTCGTTACTCCTCAGATGTGGCTCAGGAGGGTCATTCCCCGGAGGGCATGTTTACGTTGTTCTGTTCCTGCTTTACATTCTGTTTAATGTCTGACTGGGGCCAGGGTGCCCTCTGCGTCACCTTACAGGCGTCTAACAAAACACTTCGGCCCAGCCCTCCTCTACTGTGCATCACTTCAAATTTGTAGTCCAAGCTCAAGGATGCCAGCGAACAGGGCTGGACTGGCCATCGGGCGTACCGGGCAATGCCCATATTTGGGCCGGTCTGTCTGCCTCATACAAAACACATGTTTATGAGAAGTGTAAATCCGTTGAGAATTGTTCGAGCGGGGCGCGCGTATCCGCGGGGCACCTGCTGTATGTACTTGAACGGGATACCGCCACCTCTGCGGCCGGAGTGTTCCGGGGCCTCTGCGGCCGCTTTGTAATGAGCATCTTCCGCGTCCAGCGGCTGCGAGAGGCTGTGAGCGTCCAGCCGCTCGCAGCCGCTCCACCGTGTTGTGGCTGAGCGCGCAGCCTCAACGTGGCCATGTACCCAACCCCATAAACGCGCACAGGACCATGCGTGTCTTTGAGTAATCTGTGCACCCAATAAATACACTGCTGCAGGAAACAGTCCGCGTCTCCCCTATCCTCTCGAAGCGCGATTAAACGCCCTAAATAAAGCTCTGATACCTACATTTTGCATTGCATTAAAAGTTCATGTTTGAGCCCAAAAGTAATATGTTGTGAACAAATTAAACAGATTTAGAGCCAGCAAATGGCTGACAATATGCATTTCAGTCTTTTTTGACCAATTCTCATCCCTGTAACAAACAATAGTGTTGTCTGTGTCCACCTCCCTCACTCTGAGACATGTTTATTACTCTCTTGTAATGTAGACTATTGTATTTTATTTTATTGTTGAAACTGCACATATCCTGATCCTCTACAGTATTTGCTTCCACATACTGTATAAACTAGGAGTCGGCAACCTGCGGCTCCGGAGGTGCATGCGTCTCTTTCCTTCTGTAGAAAGAAAAACGTTCTTAACGTTTTTAAATGCTGTAAAATTGTGCATAAGTAATATTCAATTTAAACATTTCTGTCAACGTAGTGCGTCATATCCTGCAACGTAGGCCCGCGCCAGGCGGCCGCTGTTGTAAACAAACCGGCATGTGAGCTCTGCTTGTGTACAAGTCTCTCCATGGCCTCGCTCCAAAATATATTAGTGATATGTTAGTCCCATATGAACCAGCCCGGACTCTGAGGAGCACAGGGACTGGACTCCTGTTAGTGCCCAGAGTCAGAACTAAACATGGGGAGGCTGCTTTTCAGATTCATGCTGCTAAAATCTGGAACAGTCTTCCTGAAGATGTGAGACAGGCCTCCTCTCTGACAATGTTTAAAACCAGGTTAAAAACAGTTCTGTTTAGCTGTGCATACAACTGAGGGATTTTATATTTGTATCTTTCTTTTTAATGTTCTGTGATTATTTATGATTTTAATGCTTTCATATTTTCTTCAGCACTTTGAATTGCCTTGTGTATGAATTGTGCTATATAAATAAACTAGCCTTTCCTTGCCTTGACTGTGCGCATGGATCCCAAAGCTAAACAGAGAAGAGTCGATAATAAGACTGGACTAAGAATGAAAATTAACATTTGCTTTCAGTCAATGAGGAAGGCCTGCTTCATGTTTGCGATGTAATGTGAAGTTTCTATGAGATAATTGTATCTCTGCTTAGAAACTACAAAAATGGCCGCTCGGGGTGGAGTTGAACCTGTGTCACCTGGATGGGGGGGTGGTCAAAAGGCTACAAATAATGAGACTCAGACCCAGGCATTGCAGTTACGCTTTATATAGGCCACAAATTAATGATTTAGATGTAAAAATCAATTATTTGAAAACACGATATGTCCACTTTAAGTTGCAAACAGGCCTCAGAGTGCTCGGTTGTTAACCGACTGCGGGTGGGGCTGAGCACATGTTTCAAGTGTGAGAACACAGAGATATGTTGATCTGAAGACTGACAGCAGTGCCAGTGCAATGCCCCTTAGACAGCTGAATTTCTCAGGTGTAGATGCCCAGCAGGTGAGGATTTGGGCTCAGTGATCATGTCCTCTGTATCCATCCAGTCGATCAGAGTGGCATCGAAATCATGGCTATCAAATCTGCCGGGCTTGATCAAGAAAGAGAACATTGGTCCGTACATTTTAAAATCTACAAATCGCGTTGTGAACTAAGCCTCCAGCTAACGCATGTACGTGGTTATTTCAGCGGTGCCGATCTTGCGCAGGGAGGACTGCTCTCTCAGGTGTCGGAAGTAGCGGAGCGTGCAGGTGGAAATGTCATCTGTGAATACTGCCAGCTTACTGACAAAAGCTGTCCATGTGCCAGAAACATAAGTTTCACAATCCACATCTCGTCCTCCAGTTCTGGATATTTTTGGCCCTTTTCATTTAGAAAGGCCTTGATAGGATCAAAGCAGCTTACAAATCGCTCAAAAATGTTACCGTAACTCAGCCATCTCACTGCTGAGTGGAGATGCTGTCCAGCTCCTCGAGCAGGGACTGAAACTGCCGGCGCGTCAGTGCAGATCGCTTCACTATGAAGTTAATAATCTTTGTCACCAAGGCCACAACTTAATTGAGATCCAAATTTGACATTTTTGCGCACAGATTTTCCTGATGTATTATGCAGTGAAGTTTCATGATGGGGTGGCCGACTTTTTCTTCAATCAGTTTGACAGCCCCCTTGTGTCTCCCCACCATAGAGGGGGCGCCGTCTGTGGTCACTGCAAACCCTTTTCTGATGTTAATGTTCAATTAATGCCTTGGCCACGTCTTCACCTTTTGTAGTGTCAGGCATTGGCTTCAAGCAGCATAGTTCCTCTCTGACGGTTGAATCACAGTACCTTGCCATGACTGCCAAACGCGGGATGTCATTCACATCCACACTTTCATCAAGTGCAATGCTAAATACCGCATCTTTTAATCCAGATGTTTGCTGAGCTCTGACATTCTCAGCCATTTCATCAATACGTCGCTGAACACTTCTAGCTGACGTGAATGTCCTTTAATCGTGACTTGATGGTTTCTTTTTTTGGAAAGCTTTCATAAAGAGCATCTGAACAACTGAGAAAAGCCTCCTTAATAAATTCACCATCCGTAAACGGCTTCCCATGCTTTGCAATGCAATGCGCAATGTGATAGCGTGCTTCTGTCCCGTGATTTTTAGCAGTGGTAAAAACCCTGAAGGAGCTAGCTTGTTTTTCATATCTGGACACAGCACGTTTAATTGACTCTACTTAGTCTGCTTGGTCTTTGAAGGTCTTCTCACAGCACGGTCCTTCACAAATACAAAACCAAACTCTTGTGTCCAGCAGGACTGGAATGGCCTAAGTTTAGCCTTTTCAGCAGCCGGCGTTGCCATTGTTTACATATCATATCACAATATCATGCTCTCTGTCATTCATTCAGCGCGAAGACAGCGGAGAGAGAGCTAATCCACGCAGTGGTGTCCTCCGGGTCCTAGTGCCGGCAGTCAAAAGCGCACAGGCACAGGCAGAGGCAGATGCTTGTTTTAAAAACAGGACAGATAAAGTGAGTATCATAATAATATTGAGGTGCCAGCGTGCCATTGTTTATTCCGCGGCGTGCCACAGGTTGCCAACCCTTGCTCTATACTAATAATCTGTATCTTTCTGGCCAATTACTATATATAATGATCATGTTCATCTCATTATTGAACTAAAAGGGTTTCTGTAATGCTGTTTATTTTTGAACAAGTTGGAAAAAAATAATTTCTGCACTGTAAGTTGGTAAATGAGTCAACGAAGGTTCGGCATAGCCCTTTTTATTGAGACAACTTCTTGCATAATAAAACAGAACATATTGATGAATCACATTAGGTCACTCAACTTCCAGAGTTTGACTTCAGTGCGGATATTTAGACTAAATTTAAAGGGCCCGCATGAACACCGGGAGACTGGAGCAGACTGCTGCAGATGATTCGGGAGTCAGGCGGAGCAAAGGCGTCACAGCTAAAGGAGAATATCAATTATAGACGTTAATCATCTATGGACATTTATGTACGATGGTCAACTGCCCCTTATGGACTGTTTGTTTGTGTGTGTCTGTGTTTTTTCAGTATTGCATTACTTGTGTTTGAACTGTTTCATTTTCTGATCTGTGTTGGCGAATTCAATGGTTTTGTTAAGTCCTCCGAGATAACTACCGTTATGATTATTGTTTAAGATAAAATAAGTAAGTAAGTAAGTAATGTTTATTTATATAGCGCATTTTACAGACCAAGGTCACCCAAAGCGCTTTAAAATAAGCAGAATATAGCAAAGAAGATATGGACGTTTGATTTGAAAAACACAGTTTGGAAAGGGGTTTGACGAAGAAAATTCTACGAGGCTATACAAAAAAAATAAAAATCAATTGAATTTCTCAACAACAAATACTAAGTAGTTAGAATGAAGAAAACGTATGAGGCACTGGTGATGACACACAGATGACCATGGTCAGAATCCATCCAGATGACCACACACATGGTCAGTATCCAAACAATCAAAGACATTAAACCATAGCTCTGCACATTCGCTCCATAGGCTCCTGTCTAGTTCCCGTAAAAGTATGATGTCACTATGAGGTCACACTAAGAGCAGATTTCTGCTTTTTAAAACAAAAGTATTGCCCACGAATTGCTTTTTTATATTAAATATTAAATATGAAATTATTATTATTATTTTTTATTGTACAATTGCATGCGTTTGTGTAAATGCAATTTGAAAAACAAAATAACTAAAACACTACTCTCTTAGGCGGTAGCTCAGGAAGTAAGAGGCAGATATAATGTTTTACTTTTCATTACAGTAGGACATACTTTTCATGTCCTTTTTTATTCATCATGTCCTACTGAAGATGTTATTTCACAGACTAAAACCGGAAATTAATAAGTAAATAGTTAAAATAGACATATTTTTTCATATTTTTTTAGCCAATATTTTTTCTTCTAAGGTTAACTGTCAGATCTGTCCTCTCGTCCACCACCATCCTAAACCATTACATATTCCTTGTAAAAACACCAACCTATTGTCTTGGGATGAGTTCTTGTTACAAAGCAGCGCACATATACACATGTTGTTATTGCTAGAGGACAGAAAGTAGCTAAATCACCTGGTCTTTTAATAGCCGCAGCTCATTACGTATGCGCGTGCAGATTTTCTTCCCAGTGTGAAACAAAGGGCACACATAAAGGACATTTTATTGCGCACACGTGAGCCCCATGTGTTCCGGCTCTGAAATAGATCACACAATTCCCCGACTGAGTTCATCAAAGTGAAGATCTCCTACACGCTCATGCTTCCCTAAATACAAGAGGGGGGAGATGGGAATAAAGTGTCTCTGAATGTAAAGGCCTGAGTGACAGAAGCTGGGGGAACTATTTAATAAGGGAAACTTGAGCCAGGAATTACCCAAATACAGACAGTTTATCAAATGCCCGACCAGAGAGGAGAACACTTTGGATCACTGTTACACCACCGTGCGCGGAGCTTTTCGCGCTGTTCCCAAGCCAGCCCTCGGCTTCTCAGATCACTCCATGATACATCTGGTTCCTGCTTACAGACAGAGACTAAAGCTCTCGAAACCTGCAGTGAGGAGCTCCAAAGTGTGGTCTGATGAAGCTGTGGAAGAGCTGCGCGCATGCATGGAATCTACAGACTGGGACCTTTTCAGAGCTGCCACAGATAGTTTGGATGAATATACGGACACTGTAACGTCATACATCCACTTCTGTGAGGATAGCATCATTCCAACAAGGACCAGGGTCATCTATAACAACGACAAACCCTGGTTCACTGCTAAACTCCGGCAGCTCAGGAAAGCAAAGGAGTCTGCTTTCAGGGAGGGGGACCGCAGCGGCTACAAAGCAGCTAAATATCAGTTCAGGAAAGAACTGAAAGCAGCCAAGTCCCGGCACAGAGAACGACTACAGGAGCAGTTTGGTAACAACGATACTGCTTCTGTCTGGAGGGGCCTACGGGAGATCACCAACTACAAACCCAAAGCCCCCCCCTGTGCTGATGACCACAAGCTAGCTGACGATCTGAACTTATTTTTCAGTCGCTTTGATGCTGCCCCTGACACCTCTCCCTCCCCCACCCCCCACTACTCTAACGACCCACCCATCAGCCCTGCCCCCAGCCTAACAATAGCCGCTAAAGAGATTAAACAACTCTTCCTGAGGCTGCACCCCCGCAAAGCTCCTGGCCCGGACCACGTGTCTCCGGCCACTCTGAGACACTGCGCCAGTGAGCTTACTCCTGTGTTCACGGACATTTTCAACTCCTCTCTGCAGTCCTGCCATGTCCCGGCCTGCTTCAAATCCTCCATCATTGTCCCCGTCCCGAAGAAGCCCAGGATCACAGGACTCAATGACTACAGACCTGTAGCACTTACGTCTGTCGTCATGAAGTCATTTGAACGCCTGGTTCTCTCCCATCTCAAGTCCCTCACCTCCCCCCTCCTGGACCCCCTGCAGTTCGCCTACAGAGCCAACAGATCTGTAGACGACGCCATTAACCTGGCCCTCCACCACATCCTACAGCACCTGGACTCCCCGGGGACCTACGCCAGGGTCCTGTTCGTGGACTTCAGCTCTGCCTTCAACACAATCCTGCCATCCCTGCTCCAGGACAAGCTCTCCCAGCTCAACGTGCCCGATTCCACCTGCAGGTGGATCACTGACTTCCTGACGGACAGGAAGCAGCGAGTGCGTCTGGGGAAGAATGTCTCGGACTCTCGGATTATAAATACAGGAGCCCCACAGGGCTGTGTTCTTTCTCCCCTGCTCTTCTCCCTGTACACCAACCACTGCACCTCCAGCCACGACTCCGTGAAGTTGATCAAGTTCGCGGACGACACCACCCTCATTGGACTCATCTCCAACAACGATGAGTCCGCCTACAGGAGGGAGGTGGACCGGCTGGTGTCCTGGTGCAGTGGTAACAACCTGGAGCTGAACGCCCAGAAGACAGTGGAGATGATTGTGGACTTCAGGAAGAGCACTGTCCCCCCGCCCCCACCCTCCGTGATGGACTCCCCCATCACCTCTGTGGAGTCCTTCCGTTTCCTGGGCACCACCATCACCCAGGACCTCAAGTGGGAGCCGACCATCAGCTCTCTCATCAAGAAGGCCCAGCAGAGGATGTACTTCCTGCGGCAGCTCAGGAAAGCCAAGCTGCCTGCACAGATGTTGGTGCAGTTCTACACGGCCATCATCGAGTCCATCCTCACCTCCTCCATCACCGTGTGGTTCGCTGGAGCCACAGTCAGGGACAAACAGAGACTACAGCGCATTGTGCGCTCTGCAGAGGAAGTGATCGGCCGCAGCCTTCCATCGCTGCAGGACCTGTACGTCGCCCGAGCTCGAGGCCGGGCTGGTCGTATCACAGCCGACCCCTCTCACCCTGCACATGGACTATTCCAACCACTCCCCTCAGGCAGGAGGCTGCGGTCCATCAGGACTAGAACCTCCCGCCACAAGAACAGTTTCTTCCCCTCTGCTGTTGGACTCTTGAACACTTCTTAACCTGTCCCCCCGCCCTTTATAAAGTCACTTTACTGCCCATCATACGTCACTTTACTTCACTGTACTGCTGTCACCTTACATTGTGTGCACCATGTGCACTTGTATATTGTAAATAGTAACTGTAACTCTATTTTAAATTTTAATTTATTCTTTAGAAGTGTTTTTTATTCTTATTTTTATTATCTCTTTTTGACTGTTGCACTGAGCCAAAGCAATTTCCAAGTCTGTGACCTCCCGTTACTTACGTTGGCAATAAAAATGATTCTGATTCTGATTCTGATTCTGATTCTGATTCTGAACTATTTCTGGGCATTCATGAATAA